CCGAAGTCTGATTGCAGCCATTTTTCAAGTGGCAACCCTCAACTTTCTAGGGCACCGTGACTTAGGACCATTTTTCAACCGTAGTTTTTAGCCCTTCTGCTCTCATATGAAAGCCCAAAGACCCAGGGAGTTGATCCTGGCAAAGATTTACACAATCTCGCCATTTTGGGGGCCAAACAATCTCCCTTTTCAAAAGATACTGCGGGGCACTTTAACGCTAATGAGCTGGTCAAAAATTCTCACTTGAATTAGTGGTCTGCACCCATAGCGGACTCTGCAGCATCCAGACTTCAGTTGCCTGATGAAGGCTAGCAGCACCAGCAGCCGAAACGTCGCTACCAGCAACACGACACCGCGAGTCGTCGATCATCTTTTTCCTGTATTTATGAAAAATATAATATCTGTGTACGTTACATTTCCGACCGTAAAAACAGGTATTTTAAAATTTCAAAAAGGTGTCTGAAAAAGGTTACTATTTTCTGTTCAGGCTTTTGCAAATTGTCTTTTGTTAGTTCGATAAATTTCAATTTTGGCTCTCTGTCGATCGGTCGGCCATGATTTATGTGTGCACATGCGCACGTTGCTGTACATGTACTGTACATGTACTCCATCAACGCACGTAAATGTATACATGCATACCACCGACAAATGATTCTTGTGCAAATATTCAATTTTCATTAACTTGAAAATACTACCAATGTTTTTATCGGATCTTGATACACACGGCACTTCACTTCGTTTGTTGGATAAACTGGAGAACTATTTCAAAGAATTATTTTAAACTTGTGAGGTTGTTTAAAATGGAAAAGACCGTGAACGTTTTTTAATAATTTTTTTTCGAATTTCTTGCACAAGGGCATGGAGTGAACAAATCAAGGCCAAGAAATATAGTACAAGTATTATCAAAACATCTCGGCCAATGAATATAAATTAGGCCTACCCCATCCTATGCCTAAACGCTCACTGAACTTTGGTTGACCCAAACTGTGGAACAATTTACCTGACTTCCTTAAAGATATGACTATACCACCATTAAAAGCCCAACGTGTTTGTTCTACATGAATTCTGATTATAGACTTCTTAAGGATTTAGTTCACTTGATATGTGCTTTTAGTGAATAGTCCTTTCGTAATTCATTGATTTTCTCTTTGTTTCAATAATAGTGCTCGATGTATACATTGCTTTGATAACAGGGCCATTTTGAAAACAGCTTTTGTTGAACAATGTTACCCGGTATGAATATGTTATAAATGAAAAATAAATAAAGACAGAAAAAGCAGTGTGTAGTGGTAAAGTCATTAGAGCTGCTGTAAAGTATGAATCAGATTTTGTACCTCAAAGTCTGAATAGAAGAAGTGAGGAGATTTCAAATTAGAAGTATATGTCGTTTTGTTTACATTCATCATTACTCTGTATTGAATGCAGGAATTCAAGAATTCTCCTATTTCTCTTATTGGCGTCATCTGCATTTCTGACTTTGCTTACCATCTTCAAACTTGATGTCGCATCAACACAGTTCTACACAGCTGCAAAATTGTGAGTTCATTTTATTCTGTTCCTTGGTTACAAGTAAACGTACAAAGAGGTTCAGTACATGCACTACGATAATGAACACGATCGGGCTCTTGCTAAGTTTGTTAGGTATAATATCGGACAGTATTTTTGTCCAAATTTTAATATGTTGGTAAATGATGTCTTGCAAGTAATACATTACGTGCATGAGGGTCGAAGGGATTTTTACGAGGGGGAAATGCCTTTTTCCGGAATAAAAGTTTCAGGGGCACTCATCAGCATCTAACTGATAACCAGTAACAGTGGAAGGGGTTATTTTCAAGGTTTTTGTTTTTCAGAGCCTACTGGTGATTTCTGTCCTCTTTCATCTAACTTTTGTTTTTCATTTTGATGCTTTTTTCCTTCCCCTTTTTATTTTTCAATATGATTTGGGGGCCGCTTGACTTAAGAGAAAAATATGATGGCATCATGTGATTTTATTTAGAAGACAAAGGCAGCAGTTTAACTCACAAGTTATGTGTTGCTGGTCCGTATTAGCTATGCAATCCTTAGTTCGGCAATGAATTATAGCCAACACCTTGTTTCATGTCTTATATTGTGAATGCTCCAAACTGTAGAGTACAGGTAGACGCAGTGGTGCGATTTCACGGGAATGGTGGAGTTATTAAAGGTACAAATTATTCAACTGAAACTGAACAAGCAAATGCAAGATCAAGCAAACAACAGGACTTCCTTCAGGGTTATTTAATAGAGGAGCAGAAGTTCATCAGAAATATGGAAACACACCTGAAATCCCTACCCTCGGAGAGCGGATCTACTCTTATTCTGGAGGGAATTTTGAAGAGGAGTACTGCCAAATCACGCGCTTGGTGGTCAGACGGAAAAGTGGGAATTCATGACAGACAGTTCATTGATTACATGGTGAGCTAAGCGACGAGTTTATCATTAACATTCGTTTTAAGTAGTTTTGAAAAGGTAAAAAAAATTAAAGGGTAAAGGTTAGAAAAACTGTAAATATGGGGAAAGGAAAACTAAGGTTACTGAAACCGACAAACTCAAACAAGACGGAAATTAACAGACTTTGCACCACAAAACCTTAAAATGTTGGTAAGCGCTTAATTATTTATTTCAAGTTATTATAATTATGGAAGAGCCAGACAAATATATTTTTGTTGTCAGTTTGTGATTTTTTTAAGATCTATAATATTATATGTATATTCTCAAACGAATAAGAAATGTCCTACATCGCTGCGTTGGAAGATGCTGCTGGATCGTTACACGAAGCGGAAGTTTGTACCTGAAACTCCCATTCTTGCTTGGAACGAGCATTTCAGCCGGGACGAATATGCTCGTCTGTCCAGATTTCATGGAATTTTTGGCTGGAAGGACTTGAAAGAAAAAGGTTGGCCCCCTGAATCAGAATTTTAAAAAATTGTAATTCGTCTCTACTGCAATTAGGCAGATATAAAAGTTTTACAATGGACCGTACAATATAAAAAATAGGAAATGAACAACCCTTTGAAAATTCCAAAACTTCCCATGGGTAATTTGCACACATTTCAAGAAAATCTCTCACCTTTTCTAACTGTAGCAGTGAGATCAAACTGAAAATTTGCCCTGGAAGTTTCTTTGTCAGAAATGTCAAAGGGCATAGTGCCATTTATTAAGTATAAGCGAATTCAACGAGTAAAGAGAAAACGCTAAAAAGAAACTTAGTCAGTTTTTAACGACACTGGAATTCGGTGGAAAATACGCAATGATCTATACTACCGCAAGCCTACAACAAGGAGGTTCATAAAGTACGCACGCACGAAGGGGTTTGGTGTCATTGCATACGCTATGCGCATAGAGGGGAGTTCAAGCCAGTTAACCCCCCCCCCCCATCATATGATGAATCTTCATCATATTAAAACACTTTCTCATACAAATAGATACCAGAATCAGTCTTACGTCGAAAAACTATTCAAACATAGTATCCTCCACTGTCCACCCCACCATTTATCTTCCCGTGTCAACACCCATTATTAGTAAACCGTAACATTATTACTCATGACACAAAAACCGGCAGCGTCTCCAGGAAACATAGACCTACAGGTGCCCTCACTCCTGCTGAAGTATAATGCATTACATTGCAGCTAAAAATGTACAACCCTGTAATATTCCCACGGTTGAGTAAAAGTCAAACTCTGAGCTATCAAACGATATGTGGAACGTTTACGCGAACAGGGGAAGGGGGTGGAACCACTGCGTACGCCATGCGTACAAAGGGAGAGGGGTCTGAAAAGTCAGCATTTCGTGCGTACGTACATGTACTTTATGGACGGCCCAAGCGCTTGGAATTTCTGCGGTGCACCCAGGCTGCGCATATATTTGAGGCAATGCTGAATGGAAATTTACTTCGGCTAGTACATGAGCTTGGTACATTTAAAAACACCATTTCAAAGAGGATCAGGGGGACAAAGACTTCTACTGTGCCACGTTAACCCTCCCCCCCTTCGGACCCAGCGGGTTGCCTACCAGACCGGAACCCAAGCACTCGTATATTTTTGGAAACTTCTAACCAACGCCAGGCACATTTCTGTCAACATAATAAAATGGTTTATGAATTAAGAAAACAAATAATGCAATTTTTAACCCAAGCCTCAAGTTAATTTAAAAATGGGCAACGTGATTAATGCTTCTCAAAATGTTTGTGCCTGCTGACGGCACCGAGCAGTGTAGTCCATTATGGTATTCATATTCTAATTTTTTACACTTGAAACAGAAATCGCATCTGCTTTGACGGCGTTCAACTCGTCTCGTAGCAAATACCTATTTGATGATCGCATGATTAGTGGTAAGACGCCAAATAACATTAGTTGTATCAAGTGTGCCGTGATTGGCAATGGTGGTATCCTCAAAGGATCGAAAAAGGGCAAAGAAATCGATGCGCATAACTACATCTTTAGGTGAGTAAAATCATTGACTACTAATAAATTCCTTTGGTATATTTCGACAACACCCTCTCATCACAGTAAATCAACTTTTTGAGCTCATAAGTTTGAGCTTTTACGTATAAACAAATTCATATACCCTTAATCCCCAAACTTTAATTTTGTTTCAAATTAAGTTTTAAAACAGATGAAGATTTAGGAATCAAAAACGAACTGGTGTTTACAACAGCCAAGTTAAGATCTCTTCATGGTTCAAAGAATGAATAACTTCGCCATCATCACACCTGTACTGATTCTTTACTCTAAATGTAAACACAACTGAATTATGTAAGAAATATCAATTTCTTTCCTCTTCAAAGAGTAAATTCAGCAATAACGAAAGGTTTCGAAGAGGACGTAGGTACCAGGACGTCGTTCTACTGCTTTGGCATAATAACTTTATCAAATACGTTAGCAGAGGGACTTAGCACTGGTTTCCTCCAACTTCCCAATGACAAGGTTTGAATGCAACACCCTATTGTTGGGCCTAAAATATCAAGGGTTTTCTCTGTAAAAATATATGATTAGGCCAGTTACACATTGCTACATATTCAGATTTTCTGCCTCGTTGGAATTTTCTTTTCTATTGTTTACAGTTTTTTCTGAATTCTTCTAAAAAGTGTACTTCCTCGTCATTTTTTTCACCAAATCTATGGGCTCGTTCAGATTCACATACAACTGCGAATAATTTGATTTGTGCACAATAATAACGTCGATTATAATCGCATTGTCGCTTTGAAACTACACCATATCGTATGGCTCATGATTACTGATTTAACTAAAAACGGCCACATAACACGGTGCACCAGAAAATATCAGAATGGTATTAAGGTTTTTGTGTTTTTGGTTCACAGTTGTGTCGTCTTCACTTTTATGAGTTTAGACCCTTATTTCAGACGTTGTCTTCCTAAATTTGTTTTGGATACGACTAAGCTTGAATGAAATTTATACATTCCCTGGCCTGTTGATAATTTCAGTCCAAGTAGCGTAAACCTAAAATCAATTTTAACAGACCTTTATCATGACTGAACCTGTTTAAATATAGTTAAAGAATATGTGAATGTTTACCAGAATGTTAAAATTTTTCACGGTAATTTAGTCACAAATGGGCATGTGATGGGTATTTATGATAGAAAAGTGGTGCTGATGACTTCGTTATTTAAGTGTCATTAAATAAACGATTTTCTCCTTTTATATCTTTTCAGGGTATTCGGTATATTTTCTTTGCTGACAATCCCTGGGCTTATGCTTTCCTGGCTGCTGCATTAAACGGAAAGTCGTTGCCACTTAGCAGCGACGGAAGGTACAACATTACTCCCCTTGGACTAAAGTTGCATGGGATTCTCACTGACTACAATGAAAAAAAATTTAATGATAAGAACTGGTTCAGCAGGCGGCCTACATAGATGAGTAGTATTTTAGTATTTGTGCGTGGAGGGTTGAGAAATCTTTGTTTGTACCAAGAGGAATTACTTCATGTACTTGTTGAAGCTATTTAATCTTGTTATTCTTAAGCGCACACGCAAAAGAAGCTCCCTTACAGGATCTTCTAAACCTTTATGACGTGCCTTTCACAAAAAACCCTCTGTTTAGATACTCAGTACCCCCCATCTGAGCCTGCTATTTTGCCTATACGCATAAATGATTTTTCAGAAAGTGAAGTTATGCAGAATATCAGAAAATAACTTATCTACGAAATACAACAGAAAAATCGGAGCCCATAAAGGCAATTACAGGGGCAAACGGACAAATAAGAATACTTGTTAAACTGACCACTGTAAACCCTGCCGAATCGTGTGACAAAATAAATGAACGTTGAATGTGAATTTTCACGTTTGCAAACTTTGCGAACTTAAATTGTAACTTTTATTGGGGCATTTGACACGTGAAGGTCTGCTGGACTATACACACCAAGTTCTCTTCAACAATTAACGATTTTCAGCTATCAAACAATCCCTGTGATATGCCTCCGTCCTTCTGAAGTATGACTAATATTGATGATTGTTTTGGAAGAACCCTATAAAAGTTGTCATCAATAAAAAGTTTCTAAATATTGACAAAATAAAAATATTTCATTTTTACTCCAGAGGCCGGTTGCCACCAAAATTTCCAAAGAAACTGACGGCGAATGATGTCAAGCTTGTTCATCCTGATTTCCAAAGATATCTCAAATACAAGTGAGTTTGTGTATATCAGCTATGTTTTCGTCTCATCGGTTCCATGCACAGAAAATTAATTTGGGGCACATATGAATTTAAAGCATAGGCTATAGAGTACCGAGTGTGACGTCATTTGGAACTAGTAATGCTGCACGAACTAGTTCACGCTCGTGCTGGTTCACGCACTGGTTATCGTGCTTATGCCTTTTAAACAATAGTCTGACAGCCAGAGGAGTGAACTGTGTTTTGTTGGATATATAATGTTTCTTTGCATATTCTGGATAAGGAGGTCAGGGTTTTGAAGAATTTGAATAGTGACACCTCATGGTTGGGCAATTTGTGTTATCGATTTTTTTCTCTCGATATCTTATCAATACATACTGGTTGCACAGTTAAAGCAAATAAGAGACTAACAAAAAATCAATAAAAATGTCCCATGTGTCCATGTTAAAATAAATAAGGAATAAAAATCTTAAAATGTAAAACTGAGGTTAGCTGCAGTCAGATTCAAATTTAAGAAGACGTTTATTCCATAATCTTTTTTTTAAAAATTACATTGATAATTAAGGGAACTTCGTACATAGAAATTGGCAAAATGATTAAGCTTAAGAAAAAACATCAGAAATTAAAGAAACATAGTACACTAAAATTAGCAATGTGGATGTAAATAACTTTTTACATATACATGTACTTAATGAAAAGAGAACATTAGAGCTTATGATAAGATAAGGAAAAGCAGTCCATGTACAAATGAGAAAAGAAAAGAGCATGAGGCTGTTGAGTAAGCAGGGGCTTGTATAAACAGAAGACATAACAAGAACAACACGAACAACTACAAGACGGCAAACAAGAACAGAATAACGCAAACAAAAACGAAAACACGACGGACAAAACATAAAAGGCATGACAATAGCTGATGGCAAAAAGTTATCGGTACAAAATTGTAATGTTTGATGACGACTAAAAGATAATAAAAATTAATAAAAGAAGGAGATATTAAAAGTAAGTAAAGAAGAAGATTAAAGCTACGTCACATACTGGGAATGGAGGGCTCTTTTGTAACGGGCCTTAAACTGGCCCACGGACGACTTCGTCCTGATATCATCGGGATTGCATTCCATAAACGGGGACCGAAATAGCGAAGGGTGTTAATTGAGTAGACGGTGCGAGGGAAGGGAAGAAACATATTGGTATGGGATCTAGCGGAGTAACCGTGGATTTCATTGACCGATGCAAAGTACTAAGAAAACGTACTGGGCAGAAGATTATTGATGTACTTTAACATGAAGATACCAGTGTGTAAGTTGTTGATGTCGGTAACAGTGAGGGTGCCTAAACGTGCAAAAAGGCGTGCAGTGTGGGCCCGAGAATGAGACAAGGCGCAAGTTTGAATCGCTTTTTTTTTGTGATAAGCAAAGCGTTCAATTTGTTAATCGTTGTGCGTGCCCAAATAATGTTGCAATAAAATACGGAAGAATAAGAGAATTGTACAATAATACCAAAGAGGTACTTGGAATAAAGAAATGTAATTTGGATGAGACACCGGTGTTACGAGAGACAATTTTGTTTATGGAAGAGGAAGAGGTATGTTCTGTCCAAGAGAGGTTTTGATCGATGATAACACCGAGAATTTTGTAGAAGAGATTATATTAATAGAGGCACTGTCAATAACAAGAGGAGACAAGTGGATATTCTGAGAATGTGACAACTTAGTGAAGTAACTGAAATTAGTTTTACTGTGGTACAGAAAGTTTGTTGGCTTTGAACCATCAAGAAACCACATGGAGCTTAGAGTTGAGCGTGTCTACCAGAGAAGCAACGTCGGGGCTGGTGTGAAAGATGGTCGTATCATCGGCGAAAAGAGTGAAGTTAAATTAAGAAGATCATAGATGTAAAGCAAGAAAAGAAGGGGCCCCAGGATGGATCCTTGGGGAACTCTATGCTGGATGTTCAAATCACAAGTCGTAATGGAAGTTCATTGGTACCCGTTAAAAAGATAATCAGTAAACCATTGAAGTGGAATACCTCTGATGCCAGAGTGATAGAGTTTGGAGAGATGAATAGCACAATTGAGAGTGTCAAAAGCTTTAGAAGATCAATGAAAACACCAATGGCTCATAGTTTATTGCTAAGGGCACTCGTAATCTTGTCGACAAACTCAATGAGGGCCATGTCGGTAGAGTGGTTAGATCTAAAGCCAAATTGGTGGTCAAAAAGGATATTAAAGTGAGAAATGAAACGAGAGAGTCGGTTGTAGACGAGTCGTATACAAGGATTTTTTTAGGGAAAAGGGGACATTAGAAATTGGCCTGTAGTTCGAAATGACGTTCTCATCGCCGCTTTTGAAGATAGGGATAATCTTAGCGACTTTAAGATTAAGAGGAACAGAAGCAGTTACAAACGAAAGATTAAAGATAAGACTTAGAGGGTCAGCAATTACAGGCAGAGCAGATTTCCCACACTGGAACAGACACCATCAAACCCACTGTTGCCGCTACTCTTCAGCTCACGGCCAACCTTAATAATTTCCTGGCTTTTTGTAGGAATGAGGAAAAACGAGAAAGGATTAGGATTGTGCAATGATTCTATGAAGAAGGTATTAGTAGGGGGAATTTTGCTGGCTAAGAAGGAACCAATGTTGATAAGGTATTTGTTGATCGGCTACAAGAGGCGGACTTGAAATCGGATTGTCACCATCCATGAATTCACTAGGAAGATCATTATTCTTCCGTTTTTCGACAATACAATTAATTTCTCGCCAGATACCCTTGAGATTATGTTTTGTACGATCAAGTTAATCGGCTTGGGAACTCTTTTGGGCAAGATGGATGGTGAACGCGAGTATATGGCGATACGTTTTATATCGCTGTTCATTTAATGCCGTCGGGTTACGAAGAAAACGCCTATGCAGCCGATAAGAGACAAGAATTTACAACTGACAGAGTAATCCAGGGTTTAGTATTCCTGGGAGTGTGAACCGTTTTCAGGGTGAGAGGATTATAGGTAGATTTAAAAAATGGAAAGAAAGGTGTCGTATGCAGAGTCTGCGTCCTGAGCCTGATATACGTTATTCCAATCAATACTAGCAACATCTTGCTCGAATGAACTGATAGTATCCGAGTTAATATTTCTAGAAAGAAATGTTTTCGGAGAGGACTTACAGTTCTGAAGGCAGGAAGCTGTAAATTAAAAGAAGGAATAGTGATCAGAAATGTCGGGTAAAGAATCCCAGCTGTCGTGTTAAGCTCAGAATTGGTTAGAATGTTATCTATTAATGTAGCAGTGTTGGGTGTGGATACCATGCACGGCGTGGGCCGATGGGTAACCCCCCCCCCCACATGTCCAATCCCTATACACACTGTCAAGCTGTCAAGTGAAGTACCAGGAGCCCTGTAGACATTACCCACAACAAGATTCCTGGCTTAGTACCGCTGGATTTCGATTAAAAATAGACTCAAAGTCATTCTGTAAAGGAGTCAGGTCTTCACGAATTGGAAAATTCAGCAAGTCTTGCGAACATGACTACTTCACCGCCTGGTCTTTTGGCACGTGAAGAGTAAACTAGAAGGATGTTCTCCATGTGAATATAGGGGGAGGGGTTCCTTTAGACCAGGTTTCAGTAAACCCATAAATGCAGAAAGAGTGGTTTAGACTAGCTAAGTAATCCTCTTTGTCGAAGAAATGTCTACAGAGGCTCCTGGAATTCATATAAAAATGGAAAAAATGTCTGGACTGTCGATATTTAAATCATTAAATTCATTAGAATCAAGATATGCACACTGGTCATCAGTGAAGTCATTGTCATCATCAGAAGGTAAATTGCTAACAAAATCAGCACTGGTCATTGGACAAAGGATAAGTAAACTACAAAGAAAACAACTGAAAAAACTATAAAGTACATCAAGAAAAGGTAATAAAGTAGAGAATAGAGAATAAACATGAAAACCACAAGAGCCCGGATGTGTGCGGGAAAGAAATGGTCGCAATTATCACGAAAGAAATAGCAGTGAAAACAAATTCCAAGTTGGGACAATATGACAAAAGAAAATGATAAAGAAAACAATGGTAAACCAATGAAAAAGGACAATTCTTAGATCGAGCCCAGACAAGAAGTCATAATGTACAAAAAAGTGTGTCAACATGAAAAGGCAATGCACTCAGGTGTGGCCTTCGGCAAGTCGGATGTGGGCTTGGGCTTGCCCGGGAAGTGGTTGGTGCATAAACAAGTTAAAATCAACCAAATGCCACCAAACACCATCAGCAAAGACGTGATTCTCAGCATGCACGTTACATTGTTTACATGTGTGTGTAACCTGACTCATCTAACCCTAACAGTCCTAAATTCTCCGATTTCAATATGATTTTACATACACCCTAGGGGGTTAGGATTAACATTGAATAGCACATGCTGTTCCATCAACACCAGACCGATCAATTTTGTCACTCTTTCAAAACGACAAACCTAAAAAAAATGTTTGCGCACAAACAAACCATTTTTTATAATAATATAAAACTAATGAGGTTGCAATTTTTATTTGTGCAAGTAATTGTGTTTTAAATAAAAATCCTTAATAAAATTGCAATTTTGCAATACAAATGTCTCAAAGTTTGATACCAATAGTTGAAAAAGGTTTACATCATTTACATTTTGACTAACATAGTTGAAGGAAATTTTCATCATACCCAAAATTTCAAAATACCCAAACGTCATCAAAGGTCATGATGCAGATTCTTCTTGTCTGAGGTCCACAGAACAGAAATCTTTCGAAACATATTTTATACCCTCCAAAACAAGGTTCAGGTTAAAAGTGGCATCTGGCTGCCTCACTAATAATTGTGCGTGTAAGGAATTCACTTCGGTACTCTGTACGCTGTGCTTTCCACAAATGCACGATGAGGTTTGCTATTCGTTGTGTCTAGAGGAAAACCAATAACTCTCCCACCTACTTATTGTAGCTGTAAGTGCCCGATCTAGAGTAGCAGTCTCTATCATAGGGAGTGCAAGTTACTGATGGCAGTGCCTGAGATGAACCTGTTCGCCCGTTTCGTCTGGATCTTCTGTCGGCCAAGGAGCTATGTTTAGCATTTTCTACTGACTGCACACCTTTTTTAACAGCCTGTCTGTCATCTGCAATGTATCCCCAGATGTTAGGCCCAATATCAGATGACTTCAGTCTCTCTTGTCCTTGAAGCGGATGTTATTTCGTCCAGCTGGTCCTGAACTTTCAGTCAGTCCTCCGTAGAGAATATTTTTGGAGTGAAATGAGGGCACAAGCCTGGTACACCTGCATCTTGGTGTGCTTAGTAAAGTGACGTTTGCTCCAGACTCTTGCTCAGTCTAGCCAGAATCCTTGGCTGTTCTTCCGTTCAGGTCTTTGTCAAGAGAATCCTGGAGATGGCTCAACCAAGGTTAGTGATGTCCACCACTTCAATAGCTTTACCATCGGTGGTGATGGAAATGAAAAGATGGACAGTCAGTGTCCTGGGTCACGATGTAGGTCTTTTTAAGACTGACGCCCAGCGCAAACTGTGTAAAGGTGTGGGATAGGTAATCTACCAGCAGCTGGAGCCAGGTTTCAGTGTGGGACAACAGTGCTGTATCATCAGCAAATAGCTGTTAGCTGTTTGGATTGACAGGCTTTCAGGTTATATTGTTTAAGTATATTTTTGTCAATCCTGGCCAGCTTGGAGTGGGTTGTTCTTGTTATTTGTAATGTCCGTTTGTTTAGTCCACTGATTTTTATGTTTGGTTAATATTGTCCTACCAGCATCTGTTCTGTATGGCCGGAAGAATAATAATCAAAATAATAACGACAATAATGAGGACTTTGAGAACCTTAGTTTTAGAGCAAAATCGAACGATGTGGAACAGTTTACCATCGGCTCTTCCATGCAGGAAGACACTCTTTGTATCTGCCCCGAGCTGAAATGCACCCCTAATCGGCGAAAGAAAGACAGGTGGTTACAAGCGGGTTCTTGCACGCGTTCTTCGTGTACGCAAAGACCGTACAAGCTGAAATAAATTAGTTATACGTACTCAGCGTGCTCCGCGTCGAACGTGCATTTACTTGCGCGCCTCATTGCGCGCATATGCGGTGAGAACCGAAAAAAACACACCCTCTGCAAGCGTATTGTGGGAGTATAGGAAAGAAAATGAAGAAAAGGCCTACATTGGGAGCCAAGATGCTGTCTGTTTCACTCCATTCTGACCATAAAGGCATGTGAGGATGCACCATTGAAATACACAGTGGTGTGAGTGTCATTGTTGACGAATGTAATCACAGGCCTACTTAGGAGCCTTGGAGGCTTCTTCACTAGTTTGAAAAGCCCACTTCTGCCTGCTGTGTCGAAAGCCTTTATTAAGTTTATGAAGGCAATACAGAGTGGCAGTTGATCAACATTTATCCTGCAGTTGACAAAGAAAAAAGATCAAGTCCACAGTGGATCTGCCAGCTGTAAAGCCGCATTGTGACTCGGGGTAGACGTGACGCAAGGCTCTCTAGACTAGTTACAAACGTGGCCAAAGACCATAATTCCAAATTTATAGTCATAGAAATAACGCCATAGTTTTTCTGTCTCGCCATCGCCGTCGTGTTTCTACGAAGTGACGATGTTTCCTTTGCACATGTCCGTTAAGACGTAGCCCTTTTTACCAGCAGAGGCAGAGAAGTTTATGTGGATACGACAACAGTTCCAGTTTCCCACCACGAGCAAAATGGTCCCCGAATTTGCTGAGCTCTCCCAGTGGTGATAATGCTTGTAGCTCCGCCTTGATTGGCAGGTCTGGGAAGACTTCCAGGGTAGCGTCACTACGTTCTGAATGACAAACAGTTCGATGCAATGTTCCACCAAACTTTCCGCCTGTTTACTTTTATTGGTGATGAGTTTTCCTGTCTTGGACTTCAGTGGTGCCGCTTTCAGTTGAGCTACACCATATTCCAATAATTTGATTTACAAGAAGTTCGTCACAAGTTTAAGTATCTCTGAAAGACAATGGCACGACAGCGTATTGCTCTATTGTTCAACGGTTAGCGCAACTAGTGCGCTATCGTCGTGCTATTGCAGTGCTGTTGCCTCATTAAAATAATTATCTTCCAGTAAAACGTGACCGTTGCTTTATTTATCTTACTGAAATCTAAGGAAAGATCGTTTTACAAAAATCATTTCTGGAATTACTTTTTGTTTGTGAAATAGCTGGGTGAATTCGTCACAACGGGATTTGTTGATCCACAGGCCAACCACAGGAGGAATTATGCTTCTTCTTGCCATACACACGTGCGATGAGGTTTGTAAGTTACGTAACACTGAATATGTAGGGCGCGATCAGTCGCTTGCACAGTGCTTTGGGCTGATACTTAAAATCTTAAGAATGAACTTTCCCTTTTAGAGCAATCTTTTATGACTGTGGATTTGGAAAAGCCATCAGGCAATGGTGGACCTCGATAAATCTTGGCGCAAGTGAGGTCAGTATGCCAAGATCAATCACAAAGATCGACGTATTGCGCTTAAATACATAGGACTAAAGGATCTGGGCCAAGTGAGGGCTCTTGAGTAAGTTGGAGGATACTGACCCAGTATATGACATAAAGAACATGAATTTATCAGTTCGGTATTTCAAAACAGAAAGGTCAATCAGAAATATTGGGTCTACGAAGGGAGCGGAGCTGATAGGACAGACTTATGCACGTCCGAATGACTTTGAGGCGCTTTGTTTTGGGCGAGCACTGTTGGAATACTGAACTGGCTCATTATCAGTGTCTCTTTAACTTCTCAGTTATCAAAAATTCATCTAAATACAACAAGTGGTCACGTCACTTGTATTGATGTTGGTGACCACCAACGTTTTAAAACAACATAAAAACGGGGACTGTGAAAACTGGGCAATACTCAAACATTTCGAGGAAACTTTGGAACAAAGCCTACTATATTATGCTGATATTTATCAAATTACTATGAATGGCAATTATGTGGATAAGCATACAATCATTTCTTCAATCGACATCTAGGAACTAGAATAAATAACACTAAAAATGTGGAATTTTGATATGACGACGTCACCCCAAACCTCGGTATTAGAACCTCAGTATTGCAGGTTTATCCTGCAAAGACGTAAAATGTACCCAAGGACTCTAAAAGAGAACAGCCAAACTGATCTTTGTGGTGTAAACATCAGACCATGTCTCTTTCAACAGCTCCACTGGCTTCTTATCAGTGAATGTATCATTTTCAAGTTATTGGCAATCACAAAACTGCTTGACCGACCATGTTGTCCCTTATCTCACTGAACTTACCACCTATGCCTGCACACACCGTTCCAATTCCTGGGATATCGCACCAACAGCCAAATTAGCTCTTCCATTTCCACAAAGGTTTTGATGCAACTACTCCTAATCTGTCACGCAACTTCCTTTACTTACTTGAAAACATTACTTGCATGTAAAACTCACCCTTTCCACACTTGTTTCGCCTCATCACCATTCCCATTCTGTATAACACCTTTATTTAAGTGTAATGTTGTGATAGCAGATTGTATGCGAACACTATATGAATACCTGAATAATTATTATAATTATTAAAACATTTGAGAATAATTAAGCCCACTTTTCCGAAATGTTTTGTTTTTTCTACAGGTTAGTGCATACGGATTTGCAGGAAGTTATGACGAATACTCCGACCATTATTATGACAAAATTTTTAAGAAACATAAGACTTTTTTGAATCACGACAATCAAGCTGAAAACGAACTATGGAAGGAACTTGATAAACGCCGAATCATCAGGTTGTATACGAGGGAGAACACTGAAAAGAGTGAGGCATAAATTGCCAATAAAAATACATGTCTAAATTTGGAAAGACGAATTGAAATTGTAACAATTGTTTCAAATTTTGAGCTGTGTTATAGTTAATTTGAGAAAGTGTGGAAAACTAGTAGAAATATCGTGGTATTCGGGATCTACAGTAGTAAGAGCTGTTAAAACAATACTTCTTATTTGTGCAATACAGTCATCACCGTCAATATGAACTAACGCAACGGTGAAGCATTGTGCACGCTTCAGGCAAAGAATTAACAATTCCCATAATTTTCGTATTCACGAACTAACACAGAAGTATGTGTGAGCTGAGAACTGACAGTTCCTGATAATCCGTGTTTTCAGGAATTAAAACGTGTAAGTCTCAAGAAATATTTTAAAAAAATAGAACTTCTGTTAATTTCTAATGAAAGAATGATTTTTAGTGAAATTCTATAACAGTGCAAAAGTTTACGGATGGGTTATTCGTGTGAAGTGTTCACTAATATATTCCTCTGAATCGTATGTCTAAAAATGCGAATGTGTTATTTCGTAAAAACCAAAATTTGGAAATCGTAGATTAGTGTGCCCTATGCGCGAGCACAACCCCTTTATCTTTACGCTAATTCGCGTGATTGACCGGTTTTCACGAAGTGTACAGAACCAAGAAGCTTCAATTTTTGTGGTGTCGCCGACACATTGGCGTCTCCAGGTCATGGGAGAGCAAAATGGGTTTTTTCCTAAATACGAAGGTCCGGGGGCGTAAACCCCAGGATATCGGGATATATAGCCCACACACAAACATACTGACTTTTTTATGAGGGGCACAAAAATTTTAGCAGATTGTTAAGGATGTTTAGGATTTCCTAACGACTAACGTGTTTGCAATATCACTAAAAAGAGGAAACGAGTAAAGCCATGAATAGACCTATGCCATTCTGATGTAAGACTCTTAATACACTGTACAAATGTAAATCTTTATCATGAACATCGCCCCAATACAGTGTATGGTGCATGTCCCCCCCCCCCGCTTTTCAAATTTCCATGGTCAGACAAGTCATCCCCCCACCTTTCCCCATCCCCTATTCCCCTAATTTGCAGGACAGATATACGCAACTGCAAAATGTCATTCATTTTTCAACCGTTTAATGAATCCTCACTCCGTCCTGATGAAGCAGTAGTACCGATTTTAAAATGCAGATGATTTCAATTCCTTTTAAAAAATCGACAAATCCCCCCCCGACGAGACAGGTGTTAAATAAAGAATAAATCTGTCATTTTGTGACAAACAGAATGCTCCATATACGGGCCGACTTAGATCTCCGCTCACCGTATATTTTGAAACAAAAAGTTTTTATTTACTTATTCACTGCAAAACTTACTGGAGTGTTCGACAAATGCCCCCCCCCCAAGAGACTGGTGTGAAAGGAACAATGATTCCGTCGTTTTGTGACAAGCAAAATGCTTCATATATGGGCAGAGTTAGATCTCTGCTCACCGAACAGTTTTTATTTTGTTATTTACTGGAAACCTAACTGTAGTGTTGTGTTTTCAGGAGATTTAGGTTTAATAAAAATTTACTGGTTGAAGGAAATTCACTTTGTACCTGTATCTTTTATCCCCTTCGAACTACTGAACATGCTGCGTTGTCCAATGATCACACGTTGTAGTTCAATGAATAAGTTTCTTTCCATGGAATTCGTCATGAACGATATGTACGATTAAAAGCACATCAACGTAGAAAGCTTCTTTTGGACGTAAGCGTTGGTTGTGGACTTTTTCCCAAATTCTTCTTTACCCTCCCACCCGACACAAAATCAAGACACTGACATTGAACAGGACTCCTTTTCAGCAAACCATAAACCCTCCGTGTACCACTGAATACCATCAATAGCAACGTCATTGGCACAATGTCGGCATTTGAAATAACAATTATACCGCTGCAGCAGTGATGGCAAGGTATTGATCGTGTGTGTCAGTTTTAACAGATGTTTGGGCTGAAAATCAAACAAGTTTTTATTTTAATTATTTTCAGTCAAGGCAGTAATTTATTTCCATTAAAAAGTTGGGAACATCCAATCTGTCATTTTAATTTCATTTCGTAAGGTTTTAGCGGTTCGTTGTTGAAAGCATAAGCCTGGCTCAATCTTACAAGTTTACAATTCCACCTAATCGATTGGCATTTGCTGCAGTTTTATCGACAGCTTCGGTACGGCAATAAACATGAAGCGTTTATAAGCAGGTCTGACCGGGGTGTTAAAAATTTCAATACGGTACAATATTACGCACGATCCATTAGGAAACTATCGCTGTTTTTGTTTTAAAACTGAGAGGATGTCTTTTGCACTTTTCAGCTGTAAGTCAGCCGGACACGGTGGATTCGTCTTAAAATGGTTTGTATTGAATTTTCTATCATTTTGGTATTCCCTGTTGCCAATCGGATTCATAACCTTAAACGTACCTGTAAGACCTGGCTTACACTTCCCGAAGTGATGGATTTTCCAAACAAAACATATCACATGCAATAACAAATCCCATAACTATTTGGTTTGAATCAATAAATGAACACAATGCCTCTGCCTTCGGCGAAATAATTTTCCGCGGGTAAAATGACATCTCGCACCCGGAGTTGTTAAAAACACTGTTCGTACTTTGTTCTTTTATCATGGATTAATGTATAGTCGACAATATTGGGACGTGGGATTGTTCATTAAACAAATCAGTGCTACAACCATAGGATTAGATACGTTATTATTTAATAAGCAATGGAGCTAACTTGTTAATTTTCGAATACTGTATTAGATTTCAGGCTTTTCTGTATGATTCTTGCAAAGATTTTTAACAAGCCCTGCTGGGGCCTATTCGAACACATTTTGAATGTACTATCAAGCAAACAGCTTGAAGTTGGAGTGGAATCGTCAGTGAACCTAAGTAATGAAGTTACTGTTAGATGTAGGCTTAATTAAACTAACAAAGAAGCTGGTCATGATACAGCAACCAGGAGAATACGTGTAGGCAATCCGCAAAAAATTGTCATTTAAATTTAGTTTTTTATGTCGGAGCAGTTTGCTCATACCGCCTTAATTATTTTTACGGTGCCATTTTTATGGCGCTCAATTTCGTTTATACGCATCTGTTTGTTTACAAGCCCACCCAAATTAGAGATTCGATAAAATACATCTTGGACTCGAGTCGAAATCGAGTTGTTATTTTTTTTTCTAGCTTGTTACTTGACTTGTAAGCATTAACTTGGACTTGTGTCTGAGACTCGCAAAATGACTAGGGATTTGAATTAATCCGGACTTCCAAAATGACTGGCTGCCAACTGTAATAAATATGTCACCCAGTCGTCTTCAGTTTGGTACACGCCTTCATTCAATAATATTGCCACCTTCGAGTCTTTCTTTCCTTGTGCAATTACATCAAATAGACGAAAGGTAATCAAACAGAATAATATTATCATTAGTGCAGCTGCACTGTCATCCTATAAGGTTTTATTTTTCTATTACTTCGACGTCTACTGGTCTTTATGTATTTGTTTAAAATATAAAGGATCCAAGACATGATTTTCTATTCCGTAGCCAGACATTCAGGAACGTGCATTTCAATTTATTTGTTGAGATTTAATTAAATTCAGAAAAAAGGGTTTGTGAAATATTTCTAGAGAGTAATATAATATTTTGAGATATAAATTATGATAAATTATGTGAGGGAACAGATACTTTTTCTGGGAAACAGAAATCAATATTTTCCACAGAACGAAGCTTTCACATGTATAGTACTTTTAACTTTTCATTTCTGACTTTCCCTTCAGGGACTCCATACTTTCAAAATGATTGAGTGTTGCTTTTCACATTATAGCTGTTTATTTTTATTTTGTTTGTTGTAGGGTAGTCAGGCTTGTGCTGGCGACAGGTCTTGGAGTATCTTGCTACGCACTGGTGACTGGTATAAGCACTCTTACCAGGTTTCCATCTATTTGGGAAAGGATATCATTTCCGTATGTATTGTTCATCGCTAAGTAATTTTAAAGTATTGACAGAAACTGGTATTTTCCCTCGGAATTGTTGGCAGGGGGTGATGCGGCTATTCCGCTTGAACTGCAAAAATATCTTTTGAGCCCGATGTAATTGAAGTGGTGTCATTGATTTCCAAAAATTGGACGTCAACTTGTCCAACAGATTAGACTGAGGACAGATGAGCTATTGGGCCTCATGAAGGGGAACCCTATGTTAAAATTGTGTTAAAATACATTAACAGTGATGAAGCAGATTTTGCTCCTGAAGTTTTGATTTCAAAAATTGCTTCACAATACAAACAGATTTCCAAACTCCTTTAAATAGGAGAGGTGTAACAAAAACTCCTGCTTCACAAAACTCTGTCAGATCGGTAGATCATTTGCACCCCTTTTCTTCAGAAATGATAAAAATACCAGCAAATCTCATGCAAAAAACCGGGAAACCGTACTTCTCGAAAGAAAGCAAGCTGCCACTTGACGTCAACTTGGTCAGCTTTGATCATTTGGTGTCAGTTAAGAAGAGGGATCAATGAAAATAGAAAAGTATGAAACAAAAGTGGACAGCAAGTTTTGATTGACTTTAGGCTCTGTGCTATTAGTGCATTGTCTTAAGGCATGTGTATAGCGAAAATGTGATTTATTCTTTCGCTCAGATGAACACCAAACCTAACATTAAAAACTGGAGCTTAAAAAAAAGAATAACTGAATCATAGTCTTAACGGTCCCTAACAACGGTTTCTGCTGTTTACATTGAACATGGATAAATTTAAAGAGCAACAGAGACGGTTTCGTGAAAAAGTTAAAATATCTCAGGGCGCACCCGAAGCTGAGGATGCACCAAGTAGTTCACGGGGCACGGAAAGCAAATTAAAAGTGATTTGTACATAATGTGTACTTTGCACAAATTCAAAGGGGAGGAGGCATCTGGGTCAGAGACCTATACGCAGGGAGAGGGAAAGTACCTTCCCTGTCCCCGTCACCTCCGTAGTTACGTCACTGGAAAAGGATATAAATCACTTGTCCGTACACCTCACTCAGAGTTAGACTGCGCATTCTGGCCAATCTGCGGTCTCCATGCCTTCTGGCGAATCAGCGGTCTCGTTTACCCATAATGACATACGGTGACGGACTGACTTTCAGGTTTGTGGACATTCCGTCCCGTGTGTAAATGCAAAATATCGTGTGGTGTCGATTTTCATCAACACTTTCCGTCATCGCCCATCTTTGTAAAACAATGGGCTCTTGACGTGAACTTTAAAGATTGCATACATCCATACGAAAGACCAAACGAAATATAAGTAAGAAAGTCAAAGATTTCATTTAATATTCTGTTGCGCACCCGCAAATCTTGGAATTCTAGCGCCCCCTAATTTTACTCGTTCTCGGTCCTTGCATTTGTCAGGGTCTCTTATTTAGCTCAGCTATGCATTGTCGACAGGTAGCAGAGACGCTAATTTTGTATTAAGTTACATTCATGCTCGATCATGCTCGACTATTAAGTTATATTCAAGCTCTTGGGCGTGATCGCGTGTTCCTCCACTCCTTTGTCCTTGTGTTTTCTCTGCTCAGTTTTGACATGTCGAAATTCCCCTCCACATGGCTGCGTGGTTGAGCGTGGTAAGATTCCCTGAAATGCTAATGTTCAGAAACCTCAGATTTTGTAACTGTCAATCATTCACCACAGATGACCGGGTAAGCATTTCACGCACCCGGCTCTACACTTTGTACACGTGACTTCTTATTCTGTATTTTACCTTTTTACACACGACACTTAGATTCTTGCACACGACTCTAGCAGGAAGTCATGTGACCCTTTATGATGGAAGATTTTCATTGGTGGAGCTGTTCAGCGACGCTCATATTTTATTAATTTCTAAGTCTCTAGAATCCTATAAATAGACCAGATTTTCCCTAGCTCGTCGGTCAGGTGCAGCGGACCAAACCCTTGTTGCGAGAGCGGAACCTATCGTAGTGCGGCGGTTGGACCTTTTCCGAAAGAAGTGCGATAGTAACCATTCTTATGGCGAAGAAATGTAGCCATATGAATGACCAGCTAGCTTAGCTTGGACCGATGCAAGAGCGGTACGAATTAGCCTAGGGTGCTAGTGAGAGTCGTAGCGACCCGTCACCGCTACGTCCGAACCGATTGCCGGGCGAGACACCCCGTGTCCCTCGCCACCCTTGTCCTGCTAACTAGCCCAGTCCTCCCCGTCTCTACGCTGAGCCAATGGTACATAGTGCGGCGACTTTATCATTGCGCTCAACACATTGCGGTCTGAGCGGCAGTGCGGTCGGTACACACCGGCGCTGGCCCCGTCCAGCACTTGCTAGTCACCGTGGTGGTCCGGGACAGCTCCCACTACGGCCCGGCCCGATGAGTGTGGCCTAGCTGTGCGATGCTACACACACGTAACGTAACCCACTCCGTCTGACTTGCATTTCCAATGGTCCCGCCAAACCGTAGTTTTGTTACACTCGTATACAACTTCGCCTCTCTATAACTTTGCCTTTTGTGTGTTGTATTATAAGCTACACCTTCTTCAAACCCACATTGAACTTTGATGAAGAGAAGTGAGAGCAATAAACCAACCATACAGTTTGACTGTCACCCAAACCCCTTGTTTCGCGTCCACCCTTTAATAAATTGTAGACCCCAGATATCACATTCCGTAGACGGTAATAAAATCCATGCCACCATCGACTTGATATTTAGGGAACGCAACAATTCTTTAAATCTGTACCTTGTTCATAGCATTACTGTTTCGACCTGAAACTTTTTTGTAGATTATTTTAGAGACTAATTCCGCCCATGTGAAATACAAAATCTATCTGCGTCACAATCGCTGAATAGTTTAAGGTCTGTTTTGATAATAGTGGAGCATAACACTTGCGTCTTCAACAGAACAAAGGAGGGACGTCTTCGTCAATGGAACGTCGACAAAGATGACACTGGTCCAAGCAAGGGTCTGCTGTTAAAGAAAGAGTCAGTACAATTAGCAAATATTGACAACCGGATTCAAGGTATTGCTTTCAACCAAACTTACAAGGACACTTTAGCTGAAGACCTGCAGAGGAGAGACAGACTCAGACCATGGAATTGGCGACTCAGTGAGAGTCATTTCATCCCTGACACACAGTTTTTAAACTACATGGTATGCATTTCATAATAAAAGATTCTTTAAACATGAACGGAAACTATGGAATGGGGGACTTAGGGATTTCTTTATAAGGAAATTTTATGGTCTTTCGTAATGGTGATGCTGAACGTGGGGGATTCTGAAACAAAGGAAAATTTTGTAAATCTAAATTGTTTTTTCTTTTCAAAACCCCCCAATACAAAGGGAAAATGCATCCTTTGGGATGTTTTGGCATAGCCTAATTACCACCCACCCCACTTAAGATACGCTAGTGCTCAAACCCCAGTGATCGACCATTAACCGTTGTTCTTGGCACTGCATATATACAAGTACAACAGCAAAGACAGTGCCATCTTTGCTTTGCAAACATTTTTCTTTTTTAAAAGAGTAGCTTTTCGCAAGAATGAGAGATCGTAAAGTGATATCCTGTAATAAAAATTATACCAATGGTATTTTTCTCTTTTCATTTAACTAGACCTGTCCAACGTCAGTACGTAAAAAACTTCTTCTTGAGTCGTTTGTTCGCTATAAATATGTGCCTGAGATTCCATTGTTGATGTGGAGTAAACATTACAGCAAAGAGGAGTATGCACGTTTATCACACTTTCACAGTATCTACGGGTGGGAGGTTGCTAACGAAAGCGGTAAGAAAAAAATTATGAGCTTGTTTTCTTTAACGATACTCATGAGTATTACTTTGTATTCTTTTGAATTGCAAGATAAATTCAAAAGAATACAAAGTAATACAAAGTACTTAATTCTGATGAACCTCAAATCTAGGAAGAAAAACAAAAAATAACGCTTTAGTTAGCAAAAAAATTCACAAGTTTAAACAAAGAACTGATTTGTTTTCAAGCCGTGATGAACAGTTAGCAATCAGATTTTATGAGGAGCATTTCATAAATTCAGAACTGTATGACTTTATGATGCGCTCACTTTTGTACAAACTCTCTAGCACCTGCCCTAGTTCAGGATTCATTAGCTGTTCAGAAAGCAGAAAATTGGGGGTTTGTAAATAATTCTTCTCGTAACTTATCAAGTTCCTATCTCCCTGCAGCAAGTTTATATTGATTTCTTAGTAGCCCTATACTCTTCCATACTTATCAGTATGATTGGTACGTTTTTACATTTCATGCAGGCGAATAATCTGTCGGTTCAAACGTTAAAATATTTTATTTAATGACACCTAAGATTATTTCCTCACAACCAACTGTTGACTGCATAATATCAAACAAAACAAAGCACAACCAAGAAATTGCCGCGAATCGCATTATTGATAATGCTTATGCCAATTTCCATAATTTCTTTACTGACTATAAGGTGAAAAGTAGACTTCAAAATCTTCGGGAAAATCCAAAAAGACTGCTCTTGAATTCATCATGATGAAATCAAGAATGACGACCTACTGATGATCTAAAATCGTCACACTCAACACACAACTACACTGCGCCTATACTTTTATTGTTGACTGTTACCTTCAGTAATTGCCTCAGCACTCAGCCTTCTGAATACATCAAGCAACACGTACATGTTTGACAAGGACCGATCACCGGGAGAAGATGGATGCACATCCTGTGCTGTCATCGGAAACGGTGGCATCTTGAATGGTTCAAAGATGGGAAAAGAGATCGATGCCCATGATTATGTCTTCAGGTGAATATAAGCTCTTCACGCATTCGTTAATTAGATTGTATGTACATTTTAAACACGTAACTAAAAAAAAACTTTAAAAACTGCCAATTGATTTGTTGTGTGGCAATATTTTATAATTTATTTTTACATGACATGTACATTTAGAGGAACTCTTCCCGCTATGCATGACTACGCAGTAGACAATTTCAGTTTAGGTGACATATGCAAATCACACAGGGCTGGATAGAAAATACACCAACAGAAACTCCTTATCTTTGAACAGGAAGGAGAAGCAGCGAGCTCATTTTATACTCAACAAAACAGTGGCTAAGTGGAGAATTAAGACACTGTGAAATGTGGAATGAACTTGCCGTTAAGAAATGAAGATAAAGTTTTAAAACAAGTTTTTCTGTCTTGTGCATCTGCTACCCAGCCCCGTACAGTTGACGTAAGTCAGATTTCACCAAAACCCATTATTTGCCTTCAGTTTTAGTTATCCATGAATCCTAAATCGGCGTATAGTACTGCACCAAAAGACTCGGAAGCAGGGATAGCTGCTCAAAAATATATACAAAAATCTTAATAAAATATTGTTACACGTTAAAACAATTATGGACAATTTTAGAGGTGTGAACTTTTTGTTGTTGTTCTTGTTTAGACTAACACTGTATATGTCCACTACTAGGAAAGAGTATGGTCTTTCTGGAATACAAGCAGTGATTCAAATTGTGATATTTGCAATCGTGGGCGGAGATCCTGGGGTTTGAGGGGATATATCCCCTCCCTGAGGGATTACTAATATAATCACGCCCCTCCTTCTGTAGCCTGTACCCGTGTCCGCACTTGCCAGCGTCACGATCTCCCCTGGGACGGAGGCTGTGCTGAGCTATCAGAAATCACCC